AAATTTAAGAACCAGGCAAAGCAGGAGAGAGGAATCCTTCCAGAAATATCAAAGTTCCAGGTCAACAGCATTCAGAAAGGACTGAACCTTTTCAATTTTCTCATGACCCTGCAATTTGGTTTTAAACATCACTATTCTGTCTGTGGAAGTGTACACTTCAGCCTGTGTCCACAGGCAGCAGAAGGCACGCAGATGGGGCTTTGGTGTGATGAGAGGGCCCAGCGTCACCAACAGTGAAAACAGTCACCACTTGCCGTCCTTAATGACATAGTTGTCTCCTGAAGCTCCAGATAAAGGACAGAACCCTTCAGTAAATGTCAACGAAAGCGAAGCAGAAGTATACTAGCTTTTCATTAAAAATGGGAAAAACACCACCTGGCCCCAGATAGCTTTATAGGTAACATGTGATATATTCGAGATATTTCATGTAGCCGATAAAGATATTGGCAGTACTGGGAAGGTTAAGTCATGGCAGGGGTAATAAATTCAGAAAGTACATATTGCAGCATCAATTATGCTGTGTCCGTGGGCACCACAGAGTAAACAAATAATCTTATATTTCCAGAGAATGAAATTCCTTTTTTTTTAACCCCTCCCCCAGTTTCCCAAAATTCCTTACTTTTATGCAGAGAGAACAACCCAGGAATACCCCAAAGGAGAGATGACACGTCTGTTCAACAGGAAGACTTTGGAAATTTATAAGCCCATTTCTAACTAGAGAAATCAAAGAGTGGAAGACAATTAACCCCAGTGACTTCAACTTGAACAAACCAAGCTGAGAGAAGTGTGCCTTGAACTTGCCGCCCTTTCATTATTTCCCACCCACTATCCACAAGTTCAATGATGAGAGGGGTCCTGTGCCATAGTCGGCTTTTTACTTCATTTCATATTTACTTCATTGACACTTTGTGTCAGTTCAGGTCGGGTTGCCCCTAGAGAGAGATTTCACATTTAATGCCTCCATGTTACCATGGTAACATCATGGGGGTGGAGAGTGGATGCTCGGCTGGATGCCATCCAAGCAATAGAGTGGAAGAGCTTTTGTTTTTTCTGTGGCACAGAAAGAGTTAGGCAGAGAAAGGATGAAAGAAAGAGCATTTCTTCTTCTTTTTTTTTTTTTAGTTCAAGAAAACTTGTCTTCCAGAAGACCAGTGACATGATC